GCAAGGCATAGCTAGGGTTTTAACATGTAAGGTGTAGCTAGGCTTTCCCATAGTTTATCTGTTTTGCTATATTCTGTTATATACTCAATAAGACATCCTTAGGTAACTGCTATTTACCTCGCCTTTGGGAAGCAAGCAAACATGTCTGTAGTAGAACTGCTAAATTAGAATTATATTTTCTTACACCTCAAGCTTTATTACATTGGGGTGTTGTGTGGTTTCTGGGCTGTATGGCCATATACTAGCAACATTTTCTCCTTATATTTCACCTGCACCTGTGGCTGGCACCTTCAGAGGATCTCATGGTGGTAAAGCAAGTGGAGTAAATATGCCTGTGGAATGTCCAGGGTTGGAGAAAAAAAGTACTTCTTAAAATAGTGTGAAGGGTGCAATTAGCAAGCCTGATTTGCAAGTGTTTGAGTGGGATCCATTCATTAGCATGTGAGTCACTAAGAGGATTGCATAATGGATGGATCCCACTCAAACACTTGCAAATGGTCAGAAAATGTTGCTAGAACATGGCCATAGAGCCCAGAAATCACATACCACCCCAATGATTCCAGACATGAAAGCCTTTGACAATACTTTATGGCATTTGTATTGTCGAAGGCTTTCATGGCTGGAATCACTGGGTTGTTGTAGGTTTTTTCGGGCTATATGGCCATGGTCTAGAGGCATTTTCTCCTGACGTTTCGCCTGCATCTATGGCAAGCATCCCCAGAGGTAGTGAGGTCTGTTGGAAGTAGGAATTTCAACAGAAAGGAAGAAACCATGAAAATGAACAAAATCTGGCTACCAGTATTAAAAAACTCAAAAATTACAACAGCAAAACAACAGAGAGTAAACAATCAGGTGCATCAAATCACCTCTCAACAAAAAAAGATTCCCCCAGGCACTTCCAAGCCATTAAATGCTAATCAAAGTGGTCAGTTGAAATATTCACACCTAGCTCCACCAGACAAAAGTCCTTTGTCCCACCCTGGTCATTCCACAGATATATAAACCCATTTTCCTACTTCCAACAGACCTCACTACCTCTGAGGATGCTTGCCATAGATGCAGGTGAAACGTCAGGAGAAAATGCCTCTAGACCATGGCCATATAGCCCGAAAAAACCTACAACAACCCACTTTATGGCATTGTTTACTACACACATTATGCTACCAATTGCTAACAGGGAACAGAGAAAAGACAGAACTACTCAATACCTTCTTTATCTCAATCCTCCCCCAAAACATAAACAATGCTCAGCATAGGGGAAATGGAGCAGATCAAGCACAGAATAAGTAAAGAGAGAGGAAAATCTAGATATTCTAAACAAATTCACAACTCCAGGGTCTGCTGCATTACATCTAAAGGAATTAAAATAACTGGCAGGAATAATCTCAGAACCATTGAAAAATCATCTTTGAAAATTTCTGGAGAACAGAAGTCCCAGTGGACTAGAGGAGGCAAATGTTGTTCCAATGTTAAAAAAGGAAATAATATTGCCAGTCACTCTGACATCAATATCAGAAAGGATTCTAAAGCAGAAATAAACCATCTGTAAGGAATTAAAAAAGGAATTTCATGATCACTAAGTCAAGATGAGTTTTTCAAAAACAAGTGTTGCCAGACTAGTATCTCTTTTTTTGGACAGAATTAAAAGCTTGACAGATGAAGGAACTGTTTGGATCATCTGTTGGGGTCTGTAAACCACTGTATTTTCCCCTCAGAAAGGAGTCCACTACCATCACCAGGAATTCATAGAGCTAGGATATCATCTTGCTCAAGAAACAAATATTTGAAAGTGGACTAATTCTTTAGCATGGTGGGATTCAGGGGTTCTTTCTTCTTCTTTTTTAGCTTCATCACAGACTCTGAACAGGATGAAAACTCCCCTTGCTATAGGGAAGCATTGATTATTCCCTTTATCTTCTTGACCAATGCCCTTCAAGCTGCAGTCAAAACCCAGAAACAGCTTTTGTGAGACAGAGTGTAAAAGACCCCTGACCAGTCAAGACAGTTCCACTGGATGGCACTGTGTAGATGGCAATGGCGGCAGAGAAGTATGATTTGTTCACTTCCAAAGCATACACTTTCCAAAGGGCTCTAGTTCATGTTTAGTCAGACCTGATTTTTGCCATCGATGCTCTAGTTACTGCCCCACTCATTTCATCACCTCCAGCTCCCTAATAAACCACTCCTTAAAAGGGAATGCTTAGGAGCAATTGTGTCCCCATTACCTTTTCCCATAAATTTGCCAAAATTTTGACAGGGCTATTTGCCAAAGCAGCATTAAATGTCACCAAGTGCCATGAAGAATCCATCTGGAAACAGCGTATCAAGAAGAGGCAGCATTTCCACCCCTGCTGCCATCTTTCTGGGAAAGCTGATCCCTGTCTGCTAAGAAAAAAAGAGCTATTTACCTGAAGGACTGGACACAAGTCTCCAGGTACTGGGTTAATCACCTGGCCCATGGCCTTTGGTATCTACACTAGTGCACAGAGCATGGGGTATCATTGTGAGTTCTACTACAGATTTCTAAGTCAAACTGATTTTAGATTATGCCTTCCTGGAAATGTCCAGTCTCGATAAAATAGTAAAGAGTAGAGACATCACACTGGCAACAAAGATCTGCCTAGTCAAAGCCATGGTATTCCCTGTAGTAACCTACGGATGTGAGAGCTGGACCTTAGGGAAGGCTGAGCGAAGGAAGATAGATGCTTTTGACTGTGGTGTTGGAGGAAAGTTCTGAGAGTGCCTTGGACTGCGAGAAGATCCAACCAGTCCATCCTCCAGGAAATAAAGCCCGACTGCTCATTGGAGGGAAGGATATTAGAGGCAAAGATGAAGTACTTTGGTCACATCATGAGAAGACAGGAAAGCTTAGAGAAGACAATGATGCTGGGGAAAATGGAAGGAAAAGGAAGAGGGGCCAACCAAGGGCAAGATGGATGGATGGTATCCTTGAAGTGACTGGACTGACCTTGAAGGAGCTGGGGTGGTGACGGCCGACAGGGAGCTCTGGTGTGGGCTGGTCCATGAGGTCACGAAGAGTCGGAGACGACTGAACGAATGAACAACAACTTCCTGGAAAAGATGACCAAACATTCAGAAAGAAAAGATAGTAGTAATGAGAGATTTGAACTATCCTAATAGTTGTTGGCAGATGGACCTGTCAAAGCTTTGGCAAAGCAAAGAACCACAAATTAATAGAAAGGAAAATTCAAATCAAGTCTGCCCCATCATTTTATGGCCTTTTATATACATACTCCATTTCTCTCAAAAGGAGATCAATACTGAACAGCAGAAGAGATGAGACTAAGACAGCCCCCACGACAACAGTTACCAGGGTACACCCAATAAAGAGTTCATAGTACACCTGCTACATCCTCTTTCTCCTTGGGCTGGTTGTGCAATCTGACAGCTGCAAGTTATTGTTCCGGTTCTTTACAACAGCAACGTGACCTAACACAGCTATGTGAACTAGAGGTGTAAATCTTTGATCATTTCATCATTGTGTGCAGAAATAATCGCTGTATTTTCTTCCCTGTTCACAATTTAAAGGTATTGTGCAGCTATTTTGTTTTTAAACATCCTTTCTATTTTAAGTTCAAACTGACTACTACATTCATTCCATTATGAGATGTTTACTCAGGAGAAAACCTACAATTGCTTGTGATAGGGATTACTCTGATGACAGGGAGAGGAATACTAGGTATCAGTACTGATACTATTTTTAATGAATATTGTTAGTGCTGAACTTCTCCTCATAAACTGTAACTTTAACCTGAATCACACTGATGCATCCATTTGTGATACTGTTCAATTCCCCATGGATTGAACTGGCATTCTGCATGAAGCTACTTTTTTTCTTTTTTACAAGAGCAGTATTTGTCCCTCCTCATTTGTTCTCTCTTTTTAGGGCCAGATGAAGGAAATACAAACCATTGAGTATGAGGAACTATCCGACGGGAGAATAGGAGACAGTATGATCAGCAGTGATGAAAAGGGGAATTAATCTAGTAGGTGAGTACTGATGGAAGAAACAGTTTACTTGTTTGAATGCATCTCCCCCTATGAACCATCTTGGAGACTAAGATCATCTGGGGAGGCCCTGCTCTTGATCCCACCTCCTTTGCAAGTGCGACTGGTGGGGACAAGAGAGAGGGCCTTCTCATTGGTGGCTCCTGGGCCCTGGAGCTCCCTCCCCAATGGAATTAGATCAGCGCCCTCCCTCTTCGCCTTCAGAAAAAAACATAAAGACATGGCTATGGGACCAAGCCTTTGGGCAGTAAAGTAATGCAGTACAAGAAATGAATAAGACCTAAGTGCAATTGACAATAGGAAAGGCTTTGGATTACGATTCTGAATTTTGTGATTTTAATGCTATATTAAGATGTTTTAATTCTATATTTTAATTTTAAATGTCTGTTTATGTTCTATGTTTAATATGATTTTAAGGTTTAATGTATAGTTATATGTTAACATCTTAGTTATTATGCTTTGGTTTCGTATATATGATGGCATTGAATCTTGCCATTACTTGTTGTATACCGCTTTGAGAAAAGTGGTATATAAATGCAGTAAATTAATAATAAGAAAATAAATTTTAAAAGTTGGATATGATACAATAGAGAAAAATAGTGCGAACAAGAGGATTCCAGTGGTGGTACTTTCAAATAAGGCTTTTTATTAAGCAACACCTACTTAATTTACAAAATTTCATGGTGACTTCTGCACTAAAAGGTCTTATTTCCACACCACTTCCTCCATCTTTTTTCGTACATCCTCCCCCTTCCCCTACACAAATATATTAAGAACAGGAAAATCAAAATGATTACACAATATTTTATTATAATATGTAGCTTTAATGTTGTCTCTAACTATCCCATTAAAATGTAAACAAACAAGCCATGAGCATTACACAATGAATTGCCACATCTGGAATCATCTTTTGAAAGGCACATATTCTACTAAGTCAGGTTTTATTAACTGATTCATTTTTTTTTTGTTGGTCAGATAATTGTATAATTTCTACTGTTTAATTTATTGTATAATTTCTTACCATTTACGAGTTCTTTAATTCTTTCTCCATGCATGTTATAGGCACATTTTGCTGGTGAAGTAAGGTTCAGTCGCTTGGTGCAACTATCTAAAAACTTCAAAAACAGATTCACTAAATAAATCTGAAAAACAGTTTTAAAACCCTCAAAAAGTATAAATATATTTAACCCTCTATGGTTACCTACTTTTGTCCCAAAAGGGGAATGATGCTATTTTGGATCACTACATTCCCTGAAAAAAATGAACAGTGTCTTAAATTTGTGACTGTTTGCCACTGTGCTACTCAAATGATTCTCTAGCATAATTCTCTTCTGATTTTTTGTTTCTCAAGTGAGCTCAATAAATTAAGGATTGCACAAGCCCTGTATAAGCATTCACACATGTAAAACTAAAATTGAGACTGTGGGACATAAGGTCTGTTCCAAATATTGACATTTTTACATGTGAAGTGCCAAATTTATCAAAGCTCACCAATCCTGCACAGTTGACCTAGAGCTCTCATGATGAAGAACTCGGGTTTCTAATCAAGTTGCTCTGTAGCCATATATAATTACATAGAGAGAAATAATTCACCAAAGGTCTTTATATATTTAATCTGAAGGTCTAAAATATTCCTGAGCAGACAATGTTCAAGGATGGGGCTTCTTTGCACTCTCGCATCCCCATTCCATTTTAGGTCAAGAGACAAGAAGGTAAAACCCTGCACTGGGCTAAAGTGATTGTAGAAATGTCATAATGTCATTCAAACAGTTGTTTTGGCTATACAACATCTATATATGCAAAGAAAACCAACTGAAACAGAGAGCAATATTTCCCACATTACATTATCATAAAAAGTAAGTCAATCAACTTCTAAAATATTGTGCCAAGGTAAGTTACTATGAAATGTTTTCTCCCTAAAAACTATTTCATTTCCAGTTCTATTCTAAAATTGTTTTCCAATTAATCCATTTCATCACTTTATGACAACACTTCAGTTTCAACTAGATGTCTGGCTGAGGAAGGAGAAGAGATGCAAACTAAGTTGGTAGCAAGTGAGTGAAACAATGGTGTTATATCTATATAGTGAAAGTTATCTGTTCATTTCCACCTTTGAAAGCTCTTAGAGGAAAAACAGTAAAAAAAATGTGGTCTTTGTGAAGAAAAGGAAGAATCCACATTCCTGTTTGTTCTTTTGTTGTTCATTCGTTCAGTCGTCTCCGACTCTTCGTGACCTCATGGACCAGCCTACGCCAGAGCTCCCTGTCGGCCGTTACCACCCCCAGCTCCTTCAAGGTCAGTCCAGTCACTTCAAGGATGCCATCCATCCATCTTGCCCTTGGTCGGCCCCTCTTCCTTTTTCCTTCCACTTTCCCCAGCATAATTGTCTTCTCCAGGCTTTCCTGTCTCCTCATGATGTGGCCAAAGTACTTCAACTTTGTCTCTAGTATCTTTCCCTCCAGTGAGCAGTCGGGCTTTATTTCCTGGAGGATGGACTGGTTGGATCTTCTCGCAGTCCAAGGCACTCTCAGCACTTTCCTCCAACACCACAGCTCAAAACCATCGATCTTCCTTCGCTCAGCCTTCCCTAAGGTCCAGCTCTCACATCCGTAGGTTACTACAGGGAATACCATGGCTTTGACTAGGCGGATCTTTGTTGTCAGTCTGATGTCTCTACTCTTTACTATTTTATTGAGACTTGGACATTGCTCTCCTCCCAAGAAGTAAGCGTCTTCTGATTTCCTGGCCACAGTCTGCATCTGCAGTAATCTTTGCACCTAGAAATACAAAGTCTGTCACGGCCTCCACATTTTCTCCCTCTATTTTCCAGTTGTCAATCATTCTTGTTGCCATAATCTTGTTTTTTTTGACGTTTAGCTGCAACCCAGCTTTTGCGCTTTCTTCTTTCACCTTGATTAGAAGGCTCCTCAGCTCCTCCTCGCTTTCGGCCATCAGAGTGGTGTCATCTGCATATCTGAGGTTGTTAATGTTTCTTCCAGCAATTTTCACCCCAGCTTTGCATTCATCAGCCCCGCACATCGCATGATGTGTTCTGCATACAAGTTAAAAAGGTTGGGTGAGAGGATGCAGCCTTGCCGTACGCCTTTCCCAATCTTGAACCAGTCTGTTGTTCCGTGGTCAGTTCTGACTGTTGCTACTTGGTCCTTGTACAGATTCCTCAGGAGAGAGACAAGGTGGCTTGGTATGCCCAGCCCACCAAGAACTTGCCACAATTTATTATGATCCACACAGTCAAAGGCTTTAGAATAGTCAATGAAGCAGAAGTAGATGTTTTGCTGAAACTCCCTGCCTTTCTCCATTATCCAGCGGATATTGGCAATCTGGTCTCTCGTTCCTCTGCCTTTTCTAAACCCAGCTTGAACATCTGGCAACTCTCGCTCCATGTATTGCTGGAGTCTTCCTTGCAGGATCTTGATCACATTTCTCTATTTGTTTCCCAAGTTGCTCTGTTAATATATCCCTGCATTCGTTTTTTCCTTCCCCTTTTTTCCTGTCCAGTTTTGTCCCCCTTTATCCTTACAAACTTCATTGTCTTCCTGTTTTTGCCTTTTTTCCCTTTGCATAATTTCAACACAAACAAAATGTGTGCAATACAAATGTCTTCACATAAAGCCAGGGGCAAAATACTGATTCTCACATTTATTTCCCACGGCAATATAACTTAGACTTGTCAAAAGTTTTGTATTTCGTAGACATTTGTTGAAAAAAGAGGTAAATTAAAAATTTCATACTGGAACTGGATTTAATTCCAGGCTTTCTCAAGATTTTGTTTAGTATTGAACACTGACTTGTGTTACTGTTATACATTTTGTTGATAATAGGTAAATGATGCAGCAGAGAAATATCCCAATCTTTTCTCTGATGGGACTACAATCCCCTCACAGTCAATTGTAGAACTGGGTCCCCAAACAACTAAATCTAGACAGACTATCCTTGGCCATCAATCTAGTTTCCCATGGATAGCTATGAGGTTCATGTGCTGAAGTGCACGATACAGACACAGCAAGGTATATGGATGATGAACTTCCAAAGGTGTTATAGTGCAAAAGCAAATAAGGTAATTTAAAGTGCAAAACCTCCCCTTGCCCATAGCCATGAGGACTGGGCAAACAGTTTGCTAAAAAAAAAAAAAGGAAGAAAGAAAGAAAGAAAGACATTTCACTTCCCCAATCCATTCTGAGATATTGTATCTTTTCTAAGACTCAAGCTACCAAGCTACAGCAAAAAAATCTAAGAAAATCACTAACACAAATTAATCTTTTCTGTACCAATGGACTGTTGCTAACATTTGGCCATGGTGCTAATAAGGACTCCAAAATTCATCTGCCTAGTGGCTGAAGTCCAACCCACAATGCCTGTATCTGGATTAAATACTGGGGAAACAGTGCAAAACGAGTTGGTTTTGTCATTTTCGCTAAACAAACATTTCTTAGACTTGCTTTGCAACTAGGACCCTAAAGGACTTAAAGGAGCACTGTAGTTTACCGATCTGAGTTGTTTTGTGACACTTGCATAGGACAACATTACACTTCTATACTGCTACTGTTACAATCTTATATTAAATGGAAAAATCCACACCAATGCTTCATATTTTAAATTTTACAGCTTTTCTGAAGTATTTTTAATTTCAATTATACAAATGCAGAGCAGAAAGATTGGAGCTAATGGCTTAATTAAAAAACTTCCATCTACAAATAGTATTTCCCCAGCAATTAGGTGTATTTATGCAGTTGTTTGAAAACGTTACAGCTGCATCTTTATACAATTCATAACTAAATGGGACAAACAACCAAAATAAGGCTAAGCTAAATATTCTTTTGCATGTAATTGGGCTCTTCCATGCTTCCATTTACCTTTTCCATTTGGCTTGGGGCAGCAGATATCTGATAACCATCCTGGCCTACACAGTTCTTGAACACCAAAAGTCTGATTGAGGGCTTATCTGTCAGTTTCTCCATGCGTTTGGAAAGCATAGGTTTGGTTTGGCTTCTGCTGACACCTTTAGGAAAGGCTAGACCATTCAATGTCCAAGTTGCATTCTTCATTAACAACAGATGGTCTGGAAGGAAAAAAGGTAAAGTCAATATTTGGCTTCAGAATTAAAAGTGAGCACATCGTGCTCCCTATCCCTGATTACCTTAATAGCACACTGGCTGGTATCCATATAAAAGCTGGTATTTGGGGGAATACGACCCCATCTTCCCACAAACCGTGACATAAGCTGTAGCAAGCTGTCTCTAACTGATAGCCCGCATAAATCATCATTCCTGAAGGGAACAGATGTTCAGGGTATGACAGAGTAATACCACAATTTAGTCATAATTAAAATTCACCTTAGCATGCCTCAGTAAATGATCAGAAAGCAACATTTTACTTCTCATCTACAAAAATAAATACATGTTATCACCTTTACTTCATAAAAGCATAGGTTCTAGTCTCTGGTTTTTAACCTGCATTTGCTTTGGCTCACACTGCTCACAAGGCATCCCACAAATGATCCATTTTACAGTTGGCTTCCTAATACTCTTTTGTAGGTCTGAAAGAATGACCCTCTACATAATATCTCAGCAGAGAATACAGAATGAGAAATTATGACTACTTGACTATTTAACTCTTCATAGATTCTTACTATAGATGATGTTGAGTAGAAATGTTACCAAACATTATCTCATTTCCTAATGAGTCATGTCTCCATTACTTATTTCTATAATATACAGCTTAGGGGTCCAGGTTATTTGAAGGACTCTCTCTCTCTCTCTCTCTGAACTTGTCAGAAATTTATGATCAACTGGGGAGGGACATCTTGCTGTCCTACCACCTACTCGAGTGGGTTTGGTGGCAACAAGGGAGAGGGACTTTTCAGTGGCTCCTCCCAGACGTTGGAATTCCTTCCCAAGATAGACCAAGATGGTTCCGTCCCTGCTTGCCTTTTGCAAGCAAGTTAAGACATTTATTTACCATCAGGTATTTGGAGGATTGAGAGGCATGCTGCTGGGGAGGTTGTGGGTGAGATTTTTTTTTGCTTTGAAAATGATTTTAATGGCATTTCTTGTATTTCAACTGTATTTTAACTTCTATATCCACCCACAGATGCTTAATTTTCAAATCTGTCTTATTTTAAATGTTTATTAGGTTTGTTTTTTGTTAGCTGCCATGAGAATAAGGAGAAGGGCAGGGTCGAAATAAGATTATTAATAATAATAATAATAATAATAATAATAATAATAATAATAATAATTTATTTTATCCTACACCAAACTGTCCTACAGTGTTTGGATCTGCTCTGTTTCCTAATTTTGTGCTCTAATTGTCTTGGTGTGCAATCAGATTTTTCCTGGACTATCCCAAATAGAATCTTTAATTTTTTTTCCTCTTCTGCCTCTGTGCTTGAGTATCAATCCTGGAGAAAAAATATATAATAATAAATATAACAATTGCCCACCTCTTATATATTATCAGCCATTTCACAGATGATATAGAAGTATTTTTAACATCATTGCCCTAGTCTTTCTGCTTCTTCTTTCTACACATTTCACACATAAGGTTCTTTCCATTTCATCATATTAGTTAATTATATGGGGATGAAAACTGTTGTCACAATACTCCCCATTGGTGAATATTGCACAAAATATTTAATAGACTACAATGCCATTCAAAATAATTTTCCATGAAAAGTAGCTGGTTCCTTCTGGTTTTATAACTTTTCCACTATTCACATATGCTTCAAGGTATTCAGTTTTTAGTGTAATCATGTCTTCTATCTAAACTACAGTTTCCTACCGTGATATAGCCAGGTCACATTCCTTAGTTCATTTTAGTCACTCATTTTTCCTTAAATACCTGACTGCTTTGTTTCTGCATGCTCTGAAGTGCCATCATGCATTGCCACAGGCACTATGGCTAGGCTTTAACTAGTAGTGAAAGCAGTTGTCATTAGATTTTAAGTTTAATAACATCACTTTGACATATTATTTGAAGTATGTTCTAATTTTAAATTTGATTAAAATTACAAACATCCCATTTGTATGCCAATCAAGCCACTTAGTTGAACTTTTCTATGAACTATCCACATAAGAAGCTCATATCATAAAAAGATGGTTAAAGAATGTAAAGTCTTAAAAATACTTTAACAAACCTCAAAACATAATTTTAAAATTGTGAGAAGTTGATCAACACCCAGTTTTTAAGTGTCAAGAATTAGTTATATCAAAATGAAAGACTGTCTGGTTTGCAAATGATTTGGCTTTTACACATAAGGAAGAGACATTTTATTCCCCCAGAGGTGTGAGGTTTTTTTCCAGAATCCATATAGAACAAAATCTTCAGTGTAGGCATACTGTCATACTATGGTTACTTGTAATATATTTTGTCTGTATTGCTAATAAAAGAAAGGGAAAAAAAAAACCCTACTCCTATTGATGAGATAGTGACTTGTTAGGTGCCATCAAGTCAACTCTGACTTTTGGTGACCATATGAAGGTCACCATATGAAGGAGCGATCCTCAGGCCCCTTGTTATCAACAGTTCTGCTCAGGTCTTGCAGACTCAAGGCCATGGTTCCCTTAACTGAGGGTACATCTATACTGACATTATAATGCAGCTTGCAGAGCAAAGGCTATGATACAAACCTGTTTGGAACTGACTTAAGCAGTCAGAGTAGATGGGCCCTTTAAAACCCCCAGTTTTTTTTAAAAAAATTGTAATTTCTTCACTTTTGTGGGGGTACTATGCCCCTAACCCCAGTGAACGTGGAGGACCCACTGTATTAATTAAATGTTATTTGATATACATAAATAGTTATTAATGTGGCCACTTATTGTCACATGATGCGTTTACAACAGGCACAAGAATTCTCAAGTGTTAATATTATTGAATAAACAAACCAGGAGACATAAAGTAGATGACACAAAGCCAAAAATACAAATCAGCTCTATTTCAGAAGAATCTCATATTGCTCTTCACAATGTTTCCACTGCACAGTTGAAAAAGAAATTAAGGAAGGCATGAGTCATACCTTCAGTAATCCGGGGAAGTCTCCTCTATGTTCCACAACACCTAAATTATAGTGGGCAATACACAAGAGAGGATGCTTTTCTATGATGGCATCCAGGTCAAATACAAAATAAAAGGATTACTTGGATCAAAGAAGTATTGAAGATAGGCAAGCTCAGCAAGCTCTGTCTCTTACTGAGGAGATAATCCTATTTTGAGAATTACTAATAGGAACAGACCATTTTATATAGAAAATATAAAGAGGTGATGAGAGTAGCTGGGGTAAAGCTATTTGAGCCTCAGGAGACCTACTGTTTTTGTGGGTGGGAGGGGGCAGTTCTACTAAAAAAAGCAGAGTTCCAGCTGCTATCTTATAGAAAACATTCAACATTCAAAGTGTACAGATTGTCTTGATTCACAAATTCATGTGTGACTTAAACAGAGATATGTATATTAGGTATATCTATGTGCAGAAAGCATAATGTTGGAAACAGTTCATTCTGTTTATGCAGGGCAGATTTATATTGCACCTGCTACTTTATAGTTTTATATATTGTAAAATGCAAGAAATGCATACTATTGAGCAGACATTGTTTAATTATAAGAACATACTTTAAATATATAATCTTATACAATAATGTCAGTATTGTCACATTATTACTATTACTATTACTATTACTATTATTATTATTATTATTATTATTATTATTATTTTATACTCTGTTTTATCTCCCTAAAAAGGACACAAAGCAGATTGACATAAAAGCATTGGTATCCAATTTAAAATATGCAAATATACAAACATTAAAACAGAATTAAACACAACCAATATTTTAAAATTCAGTTAAAATCCATCAAACATATTCAAACACCTTCATCAGTTTAAATAAAAAGATTTTAGCCTGCTACCCTCTAGGGTTTTAAAGATCATAACCAGCACTTTGAATTGTGCCCGGTAACAGACTGGCAGCCAGTAGAGCTGCTGTAACAGGAGGGTTGCCCACTCCCTGTAGCCAGCCCCAGTCAGCAACCTGGCTGCAGCTCTTTGGACCAGCTGAAGTTTCTGAGCACTCTTCAGAGACAGCCCCATGTAGAGTGCATTACAGTAATTTAGACGGGATGTAACTAAGAACCGACCATGGTCAGATCTGGCTTCTCAAGGAACGGGTGTAGTTGGTACACAAATTTTAATTGTGCAAATGCCCTCCTGGCCACCACAGATACCAGGCCTCCAGGTTCAACATTGAGTCCACGAGGACCCCCAAACTACGGACCTCTGCCTTCTCAGGGGAAGTAGGACCCCATCCAACACAGGCTGGATCCCTATTCCCTGATCTGGCTTTTGACTCACCAGGAGCAATTCTGTCTTATCTGGATTAAGCTTCAATTTGTTTGCCCTCATGCAGTCCATTACTGATGTCAGTACTGGTTTCAGATCAGAACAACTTTCTTGGCATTAGGTGGAAAGGAATACTGGAGTTGGGTGTTAGCTGCATATAGGTGGCACCGATCTCCAAAACTGGATGACCACTCCCAGCCGTTTCATGTATATGTTAAACCGCATGGGGGACAAAACAGGAGAACCAACATGGGCACACTCCCCCTGTCTACTTCTCTGTGTAGGTCATCCATCAAGGCAACCAAAGCGGTGTCTGTTCCATAGCCAGGCCTGAAACCAGATTGAAATGGACCTAGATAATCTGTTTCATCCAGAGATCCCTGGAGTTGGGAGGTCACCACATGCTCCAAGAAACTGGCTGATAGTTACCCATTATAGAGGGGTTCAGGGATAGCTTTTAAAATATAGGTCTCACAACTGCCTCCTTTAGGCAGGCTGGAACTTTTCCTTGTTCTATGGAGGCACTGACCACCACCTTCATGCACTTTGCCAGTAACCTTCTGGCCTGTTTGATCAGCCAGGAAGAGCAAGGTTCTAGAATACATGGGGTGGCTCTTGTCTCTCCAAGAATCCTGTCCAAATTCTCAAGCTGCACAAACTGAATCAACACAAGACAAGAAGGAACCAAAGTTACAGTCATTTTAACTGTATCAAGAACAGGGGGCTGC